ATAGGGCATCCTTGCAAAGATAGATTGTCTTCACGGCATGATGGCAAATCTCGAAGGTTATCAAAGCCGTCAGTCATTGTCGAGGCTGGAGGAGAAAAGTCCACCAGACGATTAGTGAATATCTGAGATGAAGAAAGTAGCAGAAGCCGTGCGTGCGAGAGTCGGGAGATAGAAGAATGGAGATTGGTAGGCTGTGAAGAAGATGAATTAGGTGTTAGCTTCGAAGGAACCTGTGAAGGTGCCAATGGGAGCACGAGTCTCTCCGACAAATCCTTTGTTTGTTCGCCCACGCTTGACCCATCCTTGCCTTGCTGCCGTTTTGCTGTGTCCATGGACTCCACCTCAATATCTCTATCCTTCCCTTCTCGCTCTCGATTATCTTCACCCTCATTCTCAAGCTTACTCGATCTCCTGTCTTTCGTTTTGACCGTCCCTATCCCTCCCAATTTACTTTCATTGACCCTCTTCACAGTCTCCCTGCCAGATCGTCCTTTCGCCTGTCCATTTACCTCTCCTTTGTTCGTCAATTCCTTGTCAACGCCACTGCTTCCATATTCTGCTTCTTTCAAGCCTAGTCGTTCTGAAGTCTTTGTATTTAATGGTGGCCAGGATCCGACAACAATTGAAATTGACTCTTCTGAGTTCAAGGATGCAAAAGACTTTATCTTACGACGACTCTTTGTAGAAGGTGAGGCTGAAATCGAGGGTGACGGTTCCTGAGATGAGGAATAAACGACGCCGGCAACAGCGGAGCCATAAATTACTCCCGCGATTAACTCCATCAGTCGAGCAGTACAGACCTGAGGCTCAGAAACATTCATCTGTCCCGAAGTAGTTGACGAAACAGCCTGTCGATATTCACCTTCAAGTGGATTTGAAAACCAGTGACAATTGGAAAAAGAATAAAATTAAGTTTCAACATTCAGGTTGAGGAACGAGGATTAGAGCAACTAATCTGAAAGCGGAAGTTGTAAACTCCCTTCATAATGTATGTGCTCGCAAGTTAAACGAATTATATAATTATTAAAGTCAAAAGATCATCTGTGAGCAAGGAGAAAGTGATACATAAAAAGACATGGGATAGAATAAGGTCAATTTGGAATAACATAATTTTCAAATATGCCCGTCAATCAACCAAGCTTATGGACAATTGTAGAGTATAATTGCGACTTAAGTCTCATCCTGCTGAATATAAAGCCATTAGTAGCAATGCTGTATCTTTTATGTCTGAATAAAAAATTAAAACTAATGCCATATTCCAGTTCGATATGGCACAAATAAATTCTAGCAGATAACCAAAATTGATAAAAGATTCCTATGTTAATAACCATCTTTTATATATAAAGATATACACTTAATGTTATCGATAAAGCTTTAAAATAAATCGAAAAATAATTTCCAGTCTAGTAGTAAGAATTCTGCCTTACTTAATTGTAACGAATTAAAAAAACGATATAACAAAAATCATTAGGCAAGCCTTAATAAAAGAAATCGCTTTCAACTATACTAAAATGAAATCAAAACGTGGACTTTAGATATATTATACCTAAATATACATGCAATGATAGTAAATAATAGTGCAGAAAAAAAGAGATTAAAAGTTTGGGTTTTTTACGGAGGTATTACGCTCAACTTGACTCTAGATAAAAATTATAATAAGCAAATTACTAAGCTTTATATTTTTAGAATGCGAAAAAGTAACCAAACTTGGTTTTCTCCTAGATTTGTCGCATAGGACGATCCTAAGAATAAGGCATTAAAAAACCGGTGACTATGACTCTGCTACGTAAAATGCTATTTATCCAATAATTTATA